CTCAAGTCTGACTGTGGTCTGAGGGACAATAGTTGGGAACCAGGTGCTATAATTAGCATCCTAGATGGAATGGCCAGATGCAAAGAGCATTCATTCTTTGCTGTCCTCTATTTGTTTAGAGGAGCTCTGTTGTTCTTTACAAGTGCTTAACCATTGCCTCAGAAATAGATTAATTGTTTAGCTTTGAAGAGTTCAGTCAGCAAGAATGACATGGAAGGGAATTCCAAGTCCCTAGGAAAGCAAGTTAAGGAGTTCCTTGGAATAACACCAACTGCCCATCAACAGAATGTGATTAGGTCATCTAGTGAACTGGGCTGGTGGGAATCCAAGCATATTCCTTTTCTATGAGTCAGGTACTCTTTGACAGTCAAAACTGGCTGCAGCCTCCAAAGGGAAGAAGCATTCTACTTATGTTTGCGGTGGAGGCTCTTTACACTGGTGGTTTGATGAGCATCCATTTGCTGTTGTTTCTCTTCCTTACTCCTGTAACTCTTCCCCTTTTATATTAGTGGCTGGCTTACCTATACCTGGCTGTCATTTTATCAGCTCTGTACCCTGCATGTGATATTGGTGTCTTGTTTTAATTTAAAATAGGCAGTATATAGAAAATAATCCAGGTTCTCTTGACATAATACTAAGAACAATTTTGGATGGTGTAATGGATGTTTCTAAGTGATCCTTGGCTATAGTTGATCAGAATCCACCATAATCAACCTCCACTGTACTGGTATTCAGTAGGTTTATCAAGAGTACAACAAAGTCTCGAAGGAAACAAGATTTATATTTGCTTTTCCGTGGTTTCAGATTATTTCTGTGTTCAATTTTTATGGGAATATGCTCAATAGTTATTAAGTAATTTGAAATAGAACTAGCTAAATGATGAAGAGAAAGACCCTGGACAAAGGGAGACAATGAGGCAAGAAAGGAACTGCCTTATATATAATACCTATTCGTATCCTAATGAGTATTTGCATTTGGTTTTAATTTAATGGAGACAGAAACTGAAGTCCAGAGAGTTCTTTCCAGCTGCATCATTGCCAATAAGTTACATCAGTGTTTTGTAGCCACTGATTTCACAAATTATTGTTCTGTCCCCTTTTGAAAATCATTGTGATGTTTTTAGGTCACCTCAGAAGCCCCTCGCTGCCCCTCCTCTCTTTCTGCTGATATGGATCATGGTGATGGATTTGTCCAGATCCACCTGCCTTTCTACATCCGTTAGCCTTCTGGCTAAGAACAGTGTCAGATATGGGCTACAGTGGGGATGGAGGGCAGAGCTCTTTGTTGGCAGACCTGAGATTGCCCTGACAGTGTACACAGGAAGTGGTTGCCAGGCAATTGCTAAAGGCTAGGGCGTGCAGGGCAGCTGTCTCTAGGAACATGCCAGCTCTTGTGCTGTCGTTGATGCTTGTCTGCTTCAGTGTCTAATTCAAAAGAGAAAAATCCAGGCAGCTGGGAGCCTTCCAGGAGACTGATGCTAACTCAGTCTTACTTACTCCAAGGGACTTTATGAAGGGCTAGTTCAAACAGACCTAGAACTGTTGTCAAATATCAGTTTACCATTATCAAGGAGAAGATAATGATATTATTACTCTCTGAACCAGCCCAGGGTTTAGTCTTCATTCAAGAGTTCACTATTTGTGACTTTCACCAAGTGCTATCCTGCTTATATCTCAGTTATTCCATTTTGAATATAGAGTTATGTTTTCCATGTGGAGTTAACCTATCTAAGCTTCATTTATTCCATTTTAACTCATAGTTATTATCACCATTCCAAAAAGTTCCAGAGGTGCTAGTTGCCTAGGTTGCCATGGAAACCCTAACACTAGGAGAGTATAACACAGAAATGGTTCTTGTAAATATTATATAAAATTGATACATATAAATAGTTTGGTATGATGTCTACAACAGTATTTATATATGGAATGTCTTGTCTCAGAAAATTGACTATGAGTTGCTAATGTGTTTTTAAAATTATGAGACTCAATAGGAAAAAAAATGGCTAGTCTGGGGCATAGAAAGCAGTCTCTAATAGTTCAGAGATAAGCCAGATCTTAAAAGGTCTTCAGCAGGCCAAAGGTGTATAGTCATTGACTACATGGAGATAAGCAAGAGAAAACCAATAAGCAATTTAAAGGTGGATGAAAATATCTTCTTTACTTTGTAGAATTTCATACTGACTGAAGCATGGAAAGTGGAGTGCTAGATTTGACAGGAATTTGGAGAGAGTTGTTAGTATATCAGACTTAGAGACAGATAACAGTCTTGACTCTTAGATAATCTTTCTTACATTTTTAGGTTCTCGAGATGTTTTGCGTAGAACATCTCAACACTAGAAAGGCTCTCCTTTCTACATGTTAGCTGTCTGCTCTTTAATTTGTATACTTGCCAGACCTTGAGCTCCTACAAAACTCAGATCTTTTTATAGTCTAGGTTTCACGTCAACTCAGCACAGAATGGATCCAGTTGAGGAACCTATACGAACAAAAAATGTGATACCACACTACAATCAGCTGCATCTTCCAGAGGATCTACCTCCATTCCTATCAAAGCCAATGCATCCACACTCCAGAGTCCTATCTTTCTCATTCAATTACTATTATTATTATTATTATTATTATTATTATTATTATTATTATTATTTTTATTATTACCTTTACCATTTGTAGTTGGCAGGAGTCTTCCTCCTGGAGTTATTTACAAGGTTTGATGTCTTCCTTCCCTTTGGACTTTGCTCAAATATTATATCATCGTTGAGCACCTAATATAAAATCAGGCATGCCTTTTGTGCACATACATCAACGCACAATGATCTGCCTTAAATTGATTCTTTTCTGCTCCACTATAACACATTTTAATAGCCAATACTTATATTTATTTACCTGTTACCTATGCATGAGTAAATAAATCAATGGAGATAGAATTTGTGTTTTAACCACTGGTGAATTCTCAGGACAGAAGAGAAAAAAGTTATTGAGAAATTCATAGTAAAAGCCCAAATGTTTGTGGCCTCAGTAGATCCACAAGTTGGAATTAGATCCTGCATTCCTCTAGCTACTGGGTTGAATGTCACTTCATTGTAGGCAAAAATTCCTAATTCACATAAGGTCTGCCATGACTAAACACGTAGACAAATTGACTGGGAGCCTTTGTATGCTTTGAATATACATGTTTCTATTTATCAGCCTTTTATTTAAATTGGATGTCTAATGTCACAACCTGGTATTCTTTATTGTGGGAGGGATGTAAATAAAAAGTCATCTCTCATCAATTATGAGCTAGAAGGGACAACTGGCAATGGTAGGATCCAAGAGGTCTGCCACTATGTACAAAGGCAAGGGATTCTCTTGGGTCTTGATTTGACTTTCTGTACCAGCCATTCATAACAGACATGGTTCAAAAAACATAGGTAAAAGTAGAGTGGCTTACAGTCCTATTGGAACAATGAGGACATCTGACTTTGGTTTAACTTTACAGGTAATACAGAGTTCTGACCAGGACCTCTTTCCTATCCTTTATTGTTTATTTTTTATAATATATATATATAAATATTGTTTATATATATATAAAACATATATATATTTATATATATAAAATATATATAAATATTGTTTATTTTATCCTTTATTATTTATTGTTTATTTCCTATCCTTTATTATTTTCCTATCCTTTATTTCCTATGCTTTATTGATGCTATAAATACCTTCCCTCGGGCATTCCAGATGAGTGTTATAGACCTTCTCTTTCATTTACTCAAAATTCCAGGTCTTGGAGGCAGAAGTGATATGAAGTTTCAGCTGAGGATTGCTTGAGCTAGTGGGTAAATTTAAGACTTTGTTGGCCCAGCCAACAACTTCACTTTTACCATTTTTTGTGTTTCTCAGTAACTTTGTTGCCATGTCCTTGACTGCCTAGAGGTCTCCTCATCATATGTATACTTTGTGGTCCTAGTTATGCTACATGAGCTAATTTAGATGGAATCATTATTCCTGTATTTTTTGGTCACTTGAGTCCACTATAGAACCAATGTGTCTTTTGGGATGACCATGGAAAGTATGACATTGACACTGAGAAGAAATGTTTGATGGATGATTTAACAGCCTTGTAGGCTATTCCACACAGCCCAGCTCAAGCCTTGTTATCTCTTGTTCCTGTTGCACAATGCCTGCAGCTTCCCCAGCAGGCTGTGTATCCAGATGTAAAGAAAGCTGTGCTTGAAGGGCCATGTGATCATCTGACAATCTATCGGGAGACCAGGCTTGCTGAAATTGGGGAGAAGGTACCCCAGTGAAAATGTGCTTTTGAAGACTCTGCCTAAATTGTAGGAATACTGAATTTTCAGGGCAATGTTTTCCCTCACAAGAACAAATGCACTTGAGTTTTGATTGAAGATCTTTCTGTTTCCAAGGAAGCTTGGAGCAGTGGGATGATGTGATTTTTATAAAACACATTAAAGGTGTACTCCAGTATTTAAGATAATCAACTTGCCTTGTATTTGGAGGATTTTTTTTTTTTTTTCAGAATCTGAGTTTCAAGACGTGAATCTCACTAAGGTGATTTTGTCAATGAAATAGTTTCCAAAGATAATGTACTAACTCAAATGCAAAAGAAAATCCTCTTGAGCAACAAGAAAGAAATCAGTTAATGCTTCAACAGTTTGCTTTTTGTTTACTCTTCTCTGTTAGTCAGCACCAGCCTGTGTTCAACAGAGCTTCATAGTAATGGTACTTGTCATTTCCAAGGAGTCAATTGTGTCTTGCTTGGTAAATGGGACTACATGTAAAAAATCCCCAAAGAAATTGAATTGTACATTTTACAAAAAATTGTTGAATCACTGATAGATTCTTAGAATAATGATTCCCCAAGGGTTTTGTGACAGCCAAATATACAGTAATACAAACAAGTTATTAATGGTGTTTTGGTACTAATTATGATTTCTTTTTCCCCCTCCCCCTTGATTCACTGTTAGGTTGGGACATTTGGAAGTCTCTTCGTAAAACATGCTTCGATTAAATCTTTCGACGACTGTTTCAATGGGATTTCGACTGGTAGCTATGGTGGCTCTATTGTTTTCCCATGTTGACCATATAACTGCAGAATCAGAGCAGGAAACAGGAGGAAATGAAACCACTGAATGTACTGGCTCATATTACTGTAAGAAAGGGGTGATTCTGCCCATTTGGGAACCCCAAGACCCATCTTTTGGGGATAAAATTGCTAGAGCAACTGTGTATTTTGTGGCCATGGTCTACATGTTTCTCGGAGTTTCTATCATTGCTGACCGGTTCATGTCCTCTATAGAAGTCATCACATCTCAAGAGAAAGAAATAACCATAAAGAAACCCAATGGAGAGACCACAAAGACTACAGTAAGGATCTGGAATGAGACCGTGTCAAACCTGACCTTGATGGCACTGGGATCTTCTGCTCCTGAGATTCTACTATCAGTCATTGAAGTGTGTGGCCATAACTTCACTGCAGGAGACCTTGGTCCCAGCACCATCGTGGGAAGTGCTGCCTTCAACATGTTCATCATCATTGCACTTTGTGTTTATGTGGTCCCTGATGGAGAGACAAGGAAGATTAAGCATTTGCGTGTTTTCTTTGTGACAGCAGCCTGGAGCATCTTTGCCTATACCTGGCTTTATATAATTCTGTCTGTCATCTCTCCTGGTGTTGTGGAGGTCTGGGAAGGATTGCTTACTTTCTTCTTCTTTCCCATCTGTGTTGTGTTCGCTTGGGTAGCAGACAGGCGCCTTCTCTTTTACAAATATGTCTACAAGCGGTACAGGGCTGGCAAGCAGAGGGGAATGATAATTGAACATGAAGGGGACAGGCCATCTTCCAAAACAGAAATTGAAATGGATGGGAAAGTGGTCAACTCTCATGTTGACAATTTCCTAGATGGTGCTCTGGTTTTGGAAGTGGATGAGAGGGACCAAGATGACGAGGAAGCTAGGCGGGAGATGGCGAGGATTCTGAAGGAACTTAAGCAGAAGCATCCAGAGAAAGAAATTGAGCAATTAATAGAATTAGCCAACTATCAAGTCCTAAGTCAGCAGCAAAAAAGCCGAGCGTTTTACCGGATTCAAGCTACTCGCCTGATGACTGGAGCTGGCAACATCTTGAAGAGGCATGCAGCTGACCAAGCAAGGAAGGCTGTCAGTATGCATGAAGTCAACATAGAAGTGGCTGAAAACGACCCAGTGAGTAAGGTCTTCTTTGAACAGGGAACATACCAGTGTCTAGAGAACTGTGGGACTGTGGCTCTCACCATTATCCGCAGAGGGGGCGACTTGACCAACACTGTGTTTGTTGACTTCAGAACAGAGGACGGCACAGCCAATGCTGGGTCTGATTATGAATTCACTGAAGGGACTGTAGTCTTCAAACCCGGGGAGATGCAGAAGGAAATCAGAGTCGGCATTATTGATGATGACATCTTTGAAGAGGATGAAAACTTCCTTGTACATCTAAGCAATGTCAGGGTCTCCTCCGAAGCTTCAGAAGACGGTATCCTGGAAGCCAATCATATTTCTACGCTCGCTTGTCTTGGGTCACCCTGCACGGCCACTGTAACCATTTTTGATGATGACCATGCAGGCATCTTTACATTTGAGGAACCAGTGACTCACGTGAGTGAGAGCATTGGCATCATGGAGGTGAAGGTTTTGAGAACATCTGGAGCTCGAGGAAATGTTATCGTTCCCTATAAAACCATTGAAGGGACGGCCCGAGGTGGAGGGGAGGACTTCGAGGACACATGTGGAGAGCTCGAATTCCAGAACGATGAAATTGTGTAAGTTATGTGTGTGTGTGTGTGTGTGTGTGTGTGTGTGTGTGTGTGTATTTCTATGCATGTGAGCATCCCTTTTTTTCAACAAATGGAACTCAAAGAAGCATAGTTATGAAGTAATTGATATCTCATAGGTGTTTCTTTTCAGTATGCAGAATACACAGGATCTTAATTTCAATTTTTTTAATTTTGCCCTTTTACATATCTTGTGTACATTGTAGAGCATGATAAAATGAATTTGTAACACAATTTAGTAGATTACCTAGGATGAGTTGAAAATTTTTATTATGTTGTGCATCCTGTTGAGTACCATAATACTGAGAACAAGTGCTCAGAAAACTTGCTAACTCCATTGCTATATTCAAATCTGGAAAAACCTAAAAATGAAACACCTCTGAGAATATCTTGGCTACCAGGGTTGACTGAATGTTTCTATAACTTTTATTTGATATTGTGTATCGTGAGAATGTATGATAATGCATCTTATTGTATACTAATGTTGAATTATGACATATGATCAGTCCTGCTTCTCCAATTGAATGCCAATTTATTTATTTCTCAGTCTGGTTTTATTTTATGTGATGTAAACTTTTTTTTATCCTAGTGATATAAAATAGAGACAGAAATAAGATTCCTACCAAGCATTCTCATAGATGAGGAGTGGGCAGAGACAATGGAGTAGCAAGCAATTGACTCTTTCCTCTTTCTTACTGATGCTTTACAATATCACCATGCCTTCTGTAACACCAAGTAGCCAATTATCAAATGATTGTTCTATCAAGAGCAGCTATTGGGAGAGCAAGGTCTCCTGCATATCGAGAAGACAGTTTTATATTCAGCACCCCAGAGTAAGCTGTGAAAAAGATAGGATTAAAAATGTAGTGGGGAAAGAATAAAGGAAGGATGAAGAGGAGGACAAAAGAGAGGACATGGTAGTGTCTTCACTACAACAAAGGACTTTTTCATTAATAACAATGTTGATTGAAGCATTGGTAATTTAGGAAATTAAGGAAAGAAAAATATGTTCCATGCAATGAATTCTAAAACTGGTTGAAGTTTATGTTACTGGCAGGTAACATATTCAAACAGCAAGTAAATGTTCACTAAGAATGACACTCCTACTACAGAGTCTGCAAAATAAGAAAGCAAAAAAAGAGGAATGGGTAGAGGGAGCAGGTTTCCCTTGGGCTTTCTGGAGTCATTAGGTTTCTTTCATGTTGTACAATGGAGATGAGTGGTCCTTGAATTCAATTACATATTGAGATTAAAGAAACAAAGCGATTATGCTCATCATCCTGTAGTGTATGGAGATGTGTGGTATTTACATTAGTATCTGTATTACACTGTTAAGATTCTACCTACTGTGATGTATTTTATTGGTTAAGTGTATTTTATGGAAATAGAATATAGTAGCAATGTGTCTTACACACTCAAGAAAAACTTCTTCCAGGGACTTGTATTGACTATGATTGTGTCCAGATTACCACACATCTGTTTCATTTTTCTACTTGCCATTTTCCCCCACTGTATTTTCTAATAACTTCAGTTATAGACAGCATTTGTCATCCCTGTAAAATTTTAATGAACTACAAGGGTGACCCTTAACTATGTCAAAGCTGGTGAGTGTTTTGTTCATTTGCTGACATGGGATGATTCCTCTTAAGAAAAAAAGCACCTTCTTCCATACTTTTTGTAGTTAAGCTTGTTCCATCAACTCTGTTACCTAAGATTTTTTACCAAGCCATAGTTAAGCAATCTTACATTTGGTGGCATAAGTAGAAGAAGTTCTCAAAAGTTCTTACTAACAGTAATTTGATGGAATAATCTTCTGCCAAGCTTCATTAAAAAACATTCATTCCGTGTAATTAAATTGATTTTATTCTTGCTAAGGGAGGACTATGGCCAAACTTCATCTTTACAAAGTGATGTTTCCTTTGAAAATTTGTAAGAACTGGTGGAAGTTGTGAGCCTTCATAAGAATTGGTACCATTTTATGCCTTTATGCCTTTGTGTATATGTGTGCACACATATTCATGCGTGTGTGTGTGTGTGTGTGTATGTGTGTGTGTGTGTGTGTGTGTGTGTGTGTGTGTGTGTGTGTAGGACAGAGACCAACCATGGGTGTCATTCTTCAGAAGCAATCTATTTTTCTGAGACAGTATCTCACACATCTGTGGTTCACTGGTTGAGGAACTCATAGGCCAGCTGGCTGAACAGCAAGCATTTTCCCAACTATCCACCTGTCTCCACTTCCCCAGTGCTCTGATCACAATTGCACATTAGCAAGCTGAATTTTTACAGAGTGCTAAAAACTCAAATTCATGTCCTCAGACCTGTGTGACTCTCCTTTGCAGTCCCCAGATTATCTAGATCAACCACCAGTATAAGAAATTCTTACTGTATTATATTCTCTAGAGTGAAATGAAAAATGTTAGAAGTGGAAAAGCATTTTTAATTGGTAGAATGCAATTATGGCCCTACATTCCCAGCACTTTAGTCTTAAAAAGGTTTTAGCTTGACTTTGTAGAATTTCATTGCTACTAGGAATTTGCAGGTGCTTAGTAGGTACATTGTCTCTATACATTTTTTGTGTGTGTACGTGACTAAGACTTAGCCTTGAGAAATCACCAAGAAATTAAATGCAACATAGAAAAAAGCATTAAAAGTATGCAGCTGCATTGGCTTCCCAGATGTTTAGAAATACTAGTATTTCTTTTTGTACTGGATCTCTTTTCCTTAGATGATGTTCTCTAAAGCTAGCTTCACACATTAGATACAGAGTAAAGAGATGTTCTCATCATGTAATGAAGTTGGATGTGTGCACTCAGCCTAGGTTGTTGTTAAGGGAGAGATTCTAGCTTATCCAATTGCACAGCTAATTTTGAGAGAGATGGCTTTTTTTAAAAAAAAAAAACCTACAGTACACAGACAGGGCTGTTGACACAAGGGAGTTTCATTGAGTACTTTGAAAAATGTTTTTGTTTGTTCAACACTGTGCACAAAGCCTGAATTTATTATTCTTTTCAAAGCACCACAAAGAGATTCATAACAAAGCTTAGACTTAAAGGTTATCTAATTTCAAGGGTCCATTAACCATGGTTGAAATAAAGTCCAATCTGATCTGGGGTAGAGACAGAGGCAGTATACTCTTATTGATTGTTTGATTTCTAGAACTGAAGAGATCTTAATCATCATCTGTTTCTTTTGCACATTGCTTTTCTGTGAATAAAGGTTTTAGATATACATACAGAATGCAGTAATAACAGCAGTGGTGTTTTAATTATGTAGAACCACATCTACATAAATGTAGGACAGATTTGATAACATAATTCAGTCTGATATTATGTTGTTATCCCAATATTTAGTAGCTTTTATTAGGAATGCATCACACACACACACACACACACACACACACACACACACACACACACACACACACGGGGTGAGGGGGTACATTGTGTGCATATGCTTGTGGAGGCCAGATGTTAATGTTGGTCTTCCTCAGCCTTTCTTCGATCTATCTTTTGAGACAGACTCTCTCACAGAACTTGGACCTCACCAACTCTCCAATCTGGCTGTAAAATGAACTCCAAGGATCCTCCGGTCTGGCTTCCTAATTCTGGAACTGCAGATATGTAGTGCCACTCATTTTCTTTTTACATGACTGCTAGGGATCCAAACTTAAGTCTTCACACTTGTGTGGCAGACATTTTGCCAACTGAGCCCTCTCCTCAACTCTAATTACCAACATTTCTATTTGTAGTCAAGACACTAAGACACTGTCTTGCTTTTAAGTGTTGAAGATGCCATTTAAATATTTGATGGAAACATATCTGTACCTATTCACTCATAGTTTTTGAGAAAACTCTTAAAACTAAACTGAAAAAATCAACTTAAGGGATGTAATTCAAAGCTCATGTTTTTGTGCAAGTTCAGTCAATGACAAAGTGCAGGCCCATGCCAAGCAATGTTAACTTTCAGTGGGGAATTCTGTCTAATGTTAACAGTGAATGAAAAAAGCAAATTAAGAATGCACTGATGTGATTTGTGGTTGGTAGATGATACCCACACATGTGAAGCGTGGCTGATGTTTATTCTCTAATGACACTAGTTTAGTGGAAATAATTATAACAAAATACAATCTGGTCTTCCAAGATCTATTATTAGTTTAAATGTTCTGGGAAATGTTAAGGTTAATTAATTAATGTAGATACAAATCAAATTTAATTACTTAGTGGTGACCCAATAATAATACCACTTTTGAAGACAATTTAAGAGATTTGAATTGTTTATTGTTATATGTGTATAGAAAATGCTGATCTAAGAAAAAAGAGGTATAAATATTTACATTGCATATAGCTTGGTGAATCATTTAATGGACTCTTCCAAGCTATAATATAGTGTAATAAATGATGAATTATCTAGTTTAATTTGGATGATTATTACATTTTTAGGAATTGTGTATAACTTGATTAGTTGTAAGAAATATTCAAGAAATCTTAGCAAGTACAGCACTACAAAATCAATTTTTACATATTTTAATGAGGATTAGAAAATAAATAAGCATTAATATGATATGTTACCCATTATTATTATTATTATTTCTTCTATTTCTACTACTCTATCATTGCATGTCAGGAAAGATAAATACTGTGCATTTAGTTACTTATATTGCCAGTATTCTTATCTTGCTACATGGGATTCCATGGGATAGAAACATAGGTATATGTGATGCTGATTCAGTTTTGGGACTATAAACAATAAGTAATATATTAAGGTCTCCATATGTAATAAGTCAGCTATAGCAAAGGTATCAAGAAAACCTGACATGATCAAAACAGACCAATGGTTGTATGCCAGCAAGTTGGAAATGACAAAACAAAACAAACAAACAAAAAAACTACAGCAGATATCTTTACATGAGAACAATTAGGATGCACTGCTTTAAATATGGCATGTTCTGAATTTACTTCGTAACAGAATAATTTTATCTCCTGCATTTA